GCTTTCCATGTACAAGTCTTAGACTAGACTCGTCTAGTCATTCATTTTTGATTGTTGTTTTTCTTCTTTGGCTTACTGCATTTCACTGGAGACATATTTTCACTTAGCAAATGATTGCAGCAGTTTTACGGAGCTCCTGCTAGCACGTATCTGCTGCTGCTTCAAGCCCCAAAGCAGAACTGATGGAAAGGAACGTAGAAACAAGTCTCAGTTACTCCATGCAACATCAGTTGGTTTAACTGAGGCTGCTGCAGGAGACTGGTTTCAAGCTAAGCTATGAGTTGTGGCCCTGAAAGGTCTGAGGGACACAGACGCATGGATCCATGCAAGCCAACTGTGCAAGAGAACAGCAAAGGACAGCATGGACAGTAACTTCTTAAACTACTATAGGTAGATTTGCTAAGGTAACCATGCTGACACTCTCATTTTTCCTTAGGCTAATTGGTAAGTCCACAGACAACACCCAATATCACCATTAACATTGTATCTCTGAGCATGCTTTGAGCATTTTCTTAGTGTTTTATATCACCTATCTAGGATCCTCCCTCATCCAAACTTGCACTTTGAAGTTATACAGGAGGTATCTCCTTTCTCTCCCTTGCTAATAGTTTTTACTGGGGTCTCCCTCCTACAGGCTTTTAAATGCTCCTGCATTTCACAGCTTGCTCTCTTTCACACTGCCGTTCCTGAACTGAAAAGACTTGCTTTCTCCCTTTGCAGAAGATGGGTTTTCTCTCTGCCTCCAATTCTTTCTTAAAATGGAATTCTCCATGAAGCCTTTTGAACAAACCTCCCCAGCTTCCAGATGGCACTTACTTGACGTAGCTCTGGGGGTGCTGCCTTGGGCAGCTGCCAGGACTGCTGCCAGGAGGACCACTCCTGCTTCCCACCGCCCAGCCCCACTCTCCTGCCATTTCCCACAGCAGTCATCAAGCTAGTGTGCTGATCGCACAGAAAACCAACCAAGAAAAAACAACTGCTCCAGGTTTCTGACCAACTTGCCCTATGGTTGCTGGCCACAGCTGCAAGGGATTTGCAGCAGAGATCTGAATCAGAGCAGCATCACTTCCCTAGACTAAATTACCCTTTCCAAATACCTGTCCTATCCCATCTCTGCCCCTCAGACGCAGAACGTGTATGCAGTACCATGAATAAGGTCTTTTAAAGTTTCCGTATGTTTTAGTAGCTCAAATCTCATTTTCAAATGCGAATTAAGCACTTTGGCAAGGGTTTCATTAAAATCAGTGCAGTTTAGAAGACCTATGTGAGAATAGGGTTTAGATGCCCAAAATGCTTTGCCCTTCTGAAAGTATTGTCCCTGAACTGTACCAAGTGCAGTTTGCTTTCCAGGGATTGATCCCAAAGTGCAGAGCTGCATCTCAGCCTGTCTGACTGAAATCCAAACCTTCAGTGCAAACATGTCATCACTTGTAGTCCCTCATGAAAATTTCAAACTGGATACACTGAAGTTGCAAGGTCAACACCTTTAGGAGCAAAACACAGCTTGCTGCATAATCTTTATACATAAGCCACAGGATATTTCGCTCCTTACTTGCCAATTCAGCCTATTTTAAAAGAGAATCCAACAATTTTAATGTTCTGCTTTGGACCTGACTGCTAAACTGATTCTATCATAATAAAACACATCTGCATAAATAACATGTATTTATAGTGTTTCTACAGGGATTTTCAATATTAATTTGAGATACCACTTTGGCAGAGAAATTAGGGGTACAGGAGTAGTACTGTATTTCTTATGAAAATTTTACAAAAGTGTCAAATATATCTGTAAAAGTTCAAAATGGTAAGCCTGCAAACAAACCAGGTTTGTTTTTTTTTTCCCTGAATGGCTGTTTAGCTCTAAGTTGGCTCCCATCACAGAAGCTTTTTTGGGAAGTACTTGAGAATTTTATGAGTCTTTGTATTTTTATTAAAATACATCTTTTCAAAAAGGTACTGATTGGAAGTGCATACTTTATTTGTTGGTCAGTGTGAAACTTCATTTTAGCATATGTCTGATTATGGTTCATGTTGAGTAAACCGCTATTTTAAAATGTTGAATGTGTGGGTGCTTGCTTATAACTAATAAGGGGACTGAACAGTGTCTCAGGTAATCTTTGCTCATGAACAAAATGCTCCACACAAAGCAAGCAGGTGAAAACAAATACAAGGTGTTCTGGAGGAAGGTTGGACCAGATCAATTAATGGTGGGCAGGTAATGGGCTGCTTTGAAGAAGTATTCCTAAATAACCTTACTGCTAAAAGAGCAGTTGCTAAATGAGTGTTTTCCCTTCCCATGTTCAGGAGTTGAAAAATGCGCCCATCACTCATTAGCCCAAAGTCCGAGTCAGCTAGACAGCGTGAAAAAATACCTGGCACTCAAAGCTCACATTTAGCCTCAAAGCTGTGTCCTGCCACTCAGCAGGAACAAAACAGTCGTGCACTGTTTGTGACCTTCCTTTACTTGTCACGTAGTGTCAATCACATTGGTCTTTAATCCTTTCCAAATTATAACATGTATCTCTTGTGCTTTAATTTTCCCTCATTCCCTTCCCGATTTTACTTTTTTCTTCTTTTATTCCTGACAAAAGAGGACACTATGTCTCTCCATTATATTCAGTATTTCACCTGAAATTTGTGATGTTTGTGACCTTTTCTCTACTTGCTTACTTTTTTGACACTGTTTCTATACCTTTATCCCACCAATTTTTTTAATCTCTTATTTCTTTTCTGTGTTTTTCTGTCCAAAATCTCTCTTTCTTTCAATATCATAATTTCTATTTCTAATGTATCATTTCAGTTCTCACTTTCTACCTACCAAGCAGATGGTTAGACAAAAGGGGAGAATGTCTGTGATGTCCCAGGGCTTGTCATGGTCCCAAGATCTTGCAGCGTAAATTAAAATTCCAGTTCCTCAGGTCCTCTCTAACTGGGGGATCTAAGATGCAGTGGTGTCATTTTTCCTGCTTCTATCTTTTGCCTGAGATAGCTGAATTTGGAAGTCTGTTGAGTTATTCCATCTTTCAGGCACTCCTGTGAGAAGCTGATCTTCTACTCCTTCCTTTACTTTTGTGGTTACTAAAAAAATTGTTTCTTTTTCCCAGATTTCTATTTTGAATCCTCTTCTCCAACAACTTGTTCCAGTTGTCATTCAAAGTTTCCAACTTGGGGGAGGGGGCTGTTGACTTGATAATTTTCATTGCTACATTGACAACTCAAGCTTAAGTTTTCTATCCACGGAGAGTTTGAGAAGTCACTGAGCAGTGGAAGAGTAACTACAATAGGAAACTTGCAGATTCAGGAGGGTGTCCCTTCATTAGCTTACTCTCAGTTCATATTTGAATCATTAACTTTGTAGGTATTTGGATGGACAGTTCCTTTCAGTTTTAAACAAAAAAACCTTAATATCTGTGAATTTGATAACTTGCTGAAGAAGCTTTTTTTAGCCAAGTTGATTTTCAAAGCCTGGCAACATATGTTCACACTTGTAGTTTCAGCTGTGTCTGTACATCTAATACATTCTGTTTGCCTGAGGAGGAAATTCACTGTATGGTGGTTAAATATGAGCAAATGTAGTATTGTCTTTCCCGTACTGGTTGTCGCTGTTACCTCTCTCTCTAGCACAAGCTACCTATGCATAAAATACGAAAGAGTATGTATTACAGTAAGAATAAGTATATGTTGTACAAGTGCAAAAGACCAGACCTTGTTCTTCAAAGTGTTTGAAAAGTTTTTGAGGTATTTTTCGTAGACCTATGCTTTTAAAAATCTAGAATCCACAGCCATCATGTGAGGCCAAATAGACTTCTTCAGCTTTTTTCTTATCTGAGGTTGTTGACCTCAGGAGAGGAGGAGAAGGTTACAGGGTCAAAGTCTTTTCCTCCTTGGAGCTTGCTGCTTGCTGGGAGAGGGTTGGCTGGAAAATAGATGTTTTAGAAAAAGGGTTGAGGGTCACGATTTTAATTCTGTTAGGGAACAGCTGGTTTGAGTTTCTTTCCACTTCTATCTTCCCTCCCTTCCTCACAAATCCATGGAGAGAGAAAAATTTGTTCAGAGGAAAGCAGTAACACAAAAATAAAGGACTGCAGTATTTTCGTCTTTAAAATAGATCATGTTTGTTATAGGACTTCACATTAAGAGAGAGAAGAGGAAATTATTAAAATAATTGAAATCCATTATTGTTTCAAGCATTGAATTGAGATTGATCTAGAGTGCCAGAGGTTTATTTGTTTTCCTGCCAAAAGTTAAATTGTTAATGGTAATGGTCTAATGTTTTTTTGGTGGATAAACAGTATGCATTACCATTTTTAATTTAGTGATGTACAAAGCTAATCATGAATGTGCAGTGTTAGTTTGCATACAAGTTGCTGAAGAAAGATGGTTTGATTTGGCTATTTCTGTTCAGATTTTCCTCATCTTTGCATGCTGCTTTCATGCACTAAGACCAAACAGAGAGAAGGAAACTCACAACTCTCAAATGAATGGCAAACTAGGAACAGATTTTTCGTCTGTGCTCCTCTGAAACACTGGCCTCAGGCTGTGTTGGTGTGTGGCTCAACAGCAATCAGAGGTCATAATTTCATTGGCGGTTAGCATCAGGTTTAATTTTTCTAATATGTTACATTTACCAAAATGTCTGGTTTCAGTTACACTTATGCACTGACTGAATCAGCTTTGAGCAGCATGATGTTTTAAGGTACCTGAAAGGCTACAAGAACGTTTATGGAACACATATGCTAATTGTTTTTAACCACTTTCCTTTCTAAACACAAAAATGTGTTTTTGGAAAGCCATTTAACAGTAGTAGCTAATGATGGTGTGCATTTTTTCTAAGAAATGAGGAGAAAGAATAGGTAAAATAGTTGTTTTAACAAGACTGCCATCTACTGATTTCCACAATTAAAAATATCACTGATGAGTAGCTTGTTCATAGTTTTTTATAGCTTTATTTTTGAGATTTGCAAGATCAAGAAAATTATAAAGTCTTTCTGTCACCTTAGGAATGCGACCAGGTTCACATCGACGATGTGTCTTCAGACGACAACGGTCAAGATTTAAGGTACAAGAGAACTGAGCAAGATAAAATGTTGCTTTGCAAGTTCCTTCCTGGGAAAGCAATGAACTGCTGTAATGCTTACAGTAGCCCGCTGTCTTTTTAGCTGTCTTGGCCTTTGCAACCCAGCAAAGTGAGTAGCTGGTGGCTGAATGTAGCCTGCTGCCTTTTGTTAAACTGGGGGTTTTCTTATCTCTGACTAGCACCTATAACTTCGGAACAGACGGCTTTCCTGCGGCTGCCACCAGTGCGAATTTGTGCCTCGCAACGGGAGTGCGCGGAGGAGTGGACTGGATGCGAAAATTGGCTTTCCGTTACAGACGAGTAAAAGAAATATACAATACCTACAAAAATAATGTTGGAGGCAAGTGACTCTGAAGTATATAACAAATATAGATGAGAAGTAGTAAAAAGGAAGAACTTTTGGTTTCTGTTCCTTTTTTAACATGGTAGTGTTTAGTGAGCTGTTTAGTTTGCAGTGTGTGGAAAATTGTCTCTGAGCTAATGAAAGCAAAGGAAGATGACAGAACGTTACTTAATTCCGGTGCAGACACGCCCTTATCTACTCCACAGGTCTTCTGGGTCCAGCAAAAAGAGAGGCTTGGTTACAACTAAGAGCAGAAATTGAAGCTTTGACGGATTCTTGGTTAACACTTGCACTGAAAGCACTCACCCTTATTCATTCGAGGTGAGTACGAAGAATACGGGGTAGTTAGGAAACTTTAGGATGTCTGCTGATGATCTAGAAGAGGCTGCCTGGTCTGGTGGGCAAAATGTTGAACGTGGCAGACCTTCTTCTCATTCCTTGTTCTCATCTGACCATGCCACTCTGTACGTTGCTCTCCTGTAAGGTGGGAAAAACCCCTTCATTTGTAAGTGGCAATAATAATGGTGAGGGGTTCTAATGGGAGGGTAAGGTTTTCCTTGTTCTCTTCTGTTTTGTTTTGTTAAAAAAAGGATGTTTGTGTTTTCTTTTCCATAGGACAAACTGTGTGAACATTCTTGTAACAACTACTCAGCTAATTCCAGCTCTGGCAAAAGTCTTGTTGTATGGACTAGGGGTTGTATTTCCCATAGAGAATATTTACAGTGCAACTAAAATAGGTGAGATATTTTTATAATGTTGTGATACCTTGGAAGCTGTAATTCTAAATCAAAAGATATTGTAGTCTGTATTTATTTCTTACATGTGTTCACTGTAGCAAATACAGAGATTAGTAATACTTGATGTCATGAAACACTTTTCATGCTAAAGCATCCTAAAAGTGCTTTTCAAAAGTTCATTGTGATCTACGCAGAAAGCTTCATATAGCTCTATTAATGCTGCTGCAGCCTCTGTTAGGAGGAAATAGAATTGCTTTTTTGTCATCATTTCTCAAAACTGTAAGGCTATGTAGCAGTTGAGAAGGCTTTTTAGTAGGCTGTGAGTACAGAACACTGGTGTCTCCCCAGATTAGTGGAAGAAATTCCGTAAAGGTAAGCCCTGGCTCCATTTGTTTTCATGGGCTCTGGAGCAAATTTTGGTAAACAGTTTACCAGAAGC